TTGTGTATGGGTGTTTTGTCCTTAGGGTGGACCAGCCTCTGTCTGAGAGTCCTGCTGGGTTTGAAATGTACTGGGATGTTGTGTTTGTTGAAAATCCTTCTGAATTTCTCTGATACTCCAGCAACATAAGGGATGACAATGTTTTTCCGTCTGTTGTTCTGCTTTTTCTGTTTATTAGTGTATCCTGATGCATGCTCAATAATCCAGGTAGAACAATCTAAAAAAGTTAAATCTGGTCCTCTGGACATTCAAAAAAACCTAAAACAAAGCAAAACAACAAAAAATGTAGAAACGTTTCGTCTCTCGTCCGAGAGACTTCTTCAGTCTGAGGTGCTGTTTTCAGCTCAGTCTCTTAAATAGCACCTTCTCAGAGTGGATCAACCAGTTTTGCTGCTGACAACCAAAACCAGCTGATCACATGCTCAAGAAGGACCATCAGCCTAACAATGGATCATTAGCACACTGATGGCTGTTTACTACTCACAGAGGGCTGAGTGATACTAGCAATCACAGCATTGTAAGAGGGGGACAGTTGAACCCGGAGGCCTCCACCCCTGTTTAATGATGGACGGTTTCTTTTCACAAAGATGGCCTCCTTTACTCCTCTCTCAAACCATCGTTCCTCTCTATCCAGGATGTGCACATCTTCATCCCTGAAAGAGTGACTGCTGGCCTGGAGATGAGTGTAGACCGCAGAGTCCAGGCCTGATGATGTTGATCTTCTGTGCTGGGCCATCCTTTTGGCCAGTGGCTGTTTTGTTTCCCCGATGTAAGACTGATCACAGCCCTCCTGACACTGAACAGCATACACAACATTACTCTGTTTGTGCCGGGGGACTGGATCTTTGGGATGAACCAGTCTTTGACGTAAAGTATTTTGGGGTTTAAAAGCCACTGGGACGTTATGTTTAGAAAATAAACGTCTCAGTTTCTCTGATACTCCCTCAACATATGGAATGACCACTGGTCTGGGTCTGGGTTCCTCCTTTTCACCTGTTGGCTGACTGGAGTCCTGTTTGGGTTTCTTCTATGCTTTCAGGAAGGCCCAGTTAGGATATCCACATTGCTCTAGAGCCTGT